ATCCATATTTTCGCATAAATATAGTTGGTGGGGCAGTGGCTAAATCTTTTAGAATCCCATGACAAGTTGTGGGTTTGAACCCCACCAAAAACATGAGCTTTCTCATTATTAAAAAAAGGGGGATGCGGTACGCCCTGAGTGTCGTCTCAACAAAGTTCAGGACACGTACGGATGGAGTATCAGGGAAATGTCTGGCCTTGTCAACATGTGTCAACATGTCGATACGCGACACAGTAAAAAAATGGAAGTGTCTGTGTAACACTAGTTTTGGACCAATTAAGGGCTGAATTCCTTGCTCAAAACCTTTGCCTAGTGCATGCATTGGGCCTCATACACAGGCGTTTTGGGTGCTCGCACCAAGCTAGTGCATACACTGGGCCTCTTTTGTGTGTATGGTGGCTGTTTGGCTAGTGCTTGCACTGGGCCTCATGCATCTGCCTGCGAGCTGCTCACACCAAGCTAAAGTTTCACTCGTACTGGGTTCGGGCCTTTTTATGGGGTTGCCACACCCAAAACTAAAATTTTAGGTGTGGCCTACCCTAGGCTTCGGTGAGCGGGGCTCAAGCTAGGGCTGGCCTGGCCCTATCATATAAGAGCAAGATATAATAAACTTAATAAAAATAAAAATTGAAAAATTTATGAGTTCAATGCAAGAATTTTCATGGATTGAATTATAAGGAATTTTTTAGGCCTAAAATGAATATTTGTGAACAATGTGGATATCACTTGAAATTTAGTAGTTCAGATGGAATCGAACTTTTGATTGATCTAGGCACTTGGAATCCTATGGATGAAGATATGATCTTTATAGAGATTGTAGGGATTCTTACCAATGACAAACTTGTTTAGTCGAGGCTTTTCAAATAGGCATAGGCGACTAAATGGTCTTCCAATAGCAATTTTGCGCCCAATTAGGGGCCATGTTCAGGGTAGAGCCGAACGACATGAATTGTATAGTTATCAATAAAATTGAATAAATTATGGATTTTACTTCTCGCTCCTCTTCTCAACACGTATTGTTCTTCTTTTTATTTCTTTTCTTCCTTCTAAATTATAAAATTATTAGGAGAGCACCATGGCCATGAGTGTTGCATGAACACCGATAATAGTGCCATGTTTGATATGTGTCTAAGGTGGTAGACACATTAGGCCCAAAACCCAGTGTGCCACTGCCGTTTGTAGTACGATCATGTATAGTAAATAATTACAATATAAATATTTGAGACATTGTAAAAAAAAAGATTTATTATGAAGAATCCGATTGATGACATGAAAAATCATGTATCCGACTTGTGTTGAGCCGTATCTACATGTGTCTAAGTGTCGACATAAAAAAAATGGGGTTCTAGGTAACATTGGGGCCCATTCTCAATGAATCGTAATCAAAGCGCAGCTGTGGTGCAAATCCTACGTGGGTCCAAGTCCGACCACAAAAATGGGTTCAAGTGGTCTCTAAACCAAACATTATCAGGGCATGCTATATGTTCGACTGTTTTCGTAGCCAAGCCTAGTGCTCACTCGAGTTACTTTACGCACACGCTTGGTGTTGTGCTCGCTCCAGCCTGTTGTATGTGGGCTGTATGTACATGTGCAGGCAATATAGCATACAACAGCCTATTGCGTGCAGCCACCATTCACTCGCACAGGTCCTAGTGCACATATCAGTCCGGTGCATGCTGCCAGCGTGCACGTATGTTAATTTTTTGAGCAAGGAAACTTTTCCAATTTTTCGAGCAGCACCTCAAACCAACCTGCGGTTGAGGAGCCACGACCGATTTTTTTGAAAAAATAAGAAATTCCTTTTTAGTCCTTCGTGTATTAACTATATTCATATGCCTTGTTTTTAGTGTGCGAACAAGTGTGGTGTACTTGTGCATATACACGAATGAACAACAATATGTACAAAGATGTGCATCTTTTATAGGAAGCCTATGGACGATATTTGACTACGCTCCTCGTTTGCTACCCAAATCTGTGGGCCATGAGCATGACCTTCTCGAAAGTTTGTACACATGGTTCCAGGCTATGGGACAAGCTTTTCAATACATGAACTTTATATTCGATCCTTAATCTAGGTTTAATCTAGATACGTAGATTAGAAAACCTAACCCTACACTCGATATTATAAATAGACAAGAAATCTTGGAGTGAGGGGTGCCTTTTAGGTATAAAAATTTTAGACCAGAAAAGCCTTCATCCAACCCCCTCCCCTGTCTACAAAAGAAAATACTCTAGCCACGGTGACCCGTTTGTCTTAGGAAAACGTGCACCCTTTATCACTCCAATAGCACAATAGGAGACCTTATCCTCGTTGTCTATGCCCCAACAACCAATTTTTGAGCATTATAGAAGCCTCACAATGCTATTTGCATATTGGGGAAGTATTTTAGTCCGAAGGAGAGGACTAGATTCGAATTTGGTCCATCCCGAGGGTCAATGTACTTAAAACACAGCACGCTTGTTGTGATTTCAGTACTCACTCTTTTGCTGTCTGCTAATTGTGTAGCAGGCATACTGTGATCAAGTACACAGCTATATTCAGTGTGCTGATTGTAAGCATGTGTTCGAGAGTTCGGTAATATAAGTAAATCTTCTCCTCTTCAAATATCCTATTTTCTTCAACAAGTTCTCCCTATTCTCAATATTTCCTATATTTTTGTTAAAACATTAGGCGTTGAGCCCTTAGTTTTTGTCAATAAGGGACTCTTTCAACCAGTATGTTGATGGCCAATTGGAAGGGCTTCGGCATCCGAGTTTTAAATCAGCTTCCTGAACCTTATTTCCACGAGCCCCTATCTCAAATCCTCTTGTCTAGCATGACAGTATCAGGGAATTTTGGGCCCCTTTGTTGTTAACTTATTCAGGTTGTAGATATGAAGCACACGCTTAAAACAATGGCTGGCAGCTTCTCGGGATTGTGTGTAAACACCTATACCTGTCTTTTTCTTTTCATATGTATATTTCACATTTTGACGACCTTGAACCTGTTTTTTAACCTAATTTCTAGCTTGCATTTAAACTAAATGTGCTCCAGGGCCGACCTGCTGTTTGAATACAGTTAAATGCCTTGTATATATTCTTTCTATGCAGTCATCATTTGGAGTTGGCTGTTCTAGGGATAACTCTTCTGCATTAAGCACTTGGATCTCTACATATTCCATATTTTCGTCACAGAGATAAGGTTCTTTTAACCATTCTGTCTTGCATTTTGATTTTTGATTCTTATGTGCATGCAGTTCAATGGTTCCTGGTTCAAGGAATCCTTTGTGGGGGGAGGAGTTTGACTTCTGTGTAGATGAACTTCCTGTTCAGGTAGTTCAATTATAAAATGTGGTTTGTCTTTTAGAACGTGTATCTCATTTTCATTCTTTACTTTTTCTATCCATTGCTTCAGCATGGTTTTGGTGTAGTTATACTTTATGAGCTTTAGGTTTGTATTTTTGTAGATTAATGTGACGATTTATGATTGGGACATAATTTGGAAAAGCACAGTTCTTGGATCTGTATCAGTTGTAATTAATGGTGAAGGTCAAACTGAAGCAACCTGGTACACATTGGATAGCCCTTCAGGACAGGTTAGTTTTATTCATCATGGATCTTGATGCTCCACATTGTGCTCATCCTGGACTCGGTGATTCACAGAAATTTTTCTTGGCCAGGTTTGTCTGCATACAAAAACCATTAAGGTCCCTGTCAATGCTTCAGGGTAATGACTTGTTCTGGTTCGTGGCTTCCTCACATATATTAAATTGTTATTGGAAGTGGTAGTTTTATGGAACATATAGGCATGTGATACAGATCATTTAGCCATTCTATAAACTATGCTTTGTGAGGCAAGTTAGCTAAATTGGTCAATTTTGTAATGTAGTTCTTGTATGAGTTCCTCCAATTTTCTGTTTATTGAAGGTGATGTTGACATATATAGTTTCATATCCATGTCATTCTATTTCATAACTCACCCTAAGATGGCTCGAATTGAGCCAAAAAATCAAGAAATGGGTCATCGTCTTAATGTGCAAGTTTAATGTATAAGGGTGCCACTGGATTAATAATTTTTTAAATCAAGATGGTCAGGAAGTAGAGGAGAGGTATTCATATCCTGAAATCTTCCCTTACTAGAATATTTAGAAACTTATGAAATTTGCTTTCAAGATAACCATTAGGCAGTTGATTTGCATCAGTCTACTTATTATTTTCAGTGATGATGTTGGAGGAGAGACAAAATCAATTTCAAAAAATAGATAATGAATTATTTTTCTCTGAATTGTGATGAAGAGAACTTGTGTATTTACTCATGCCATTTCAATTTTTACCGACCCTGATTTCTCCTTAGCAAATCTGAGATCTCCAACACAATTTCATAGCCTAATGCTTTTGTTAGTATTGACCATTATTATGTCTAGTTTGAGACAAAGCAAAGGAAGATGTTACTTTAGCCATCCATGGTTCTCCCTAGAATATATCTGCCTTTATTGCTTTATTCACATTTTATTTAATTTGGTAATTTTTAGTTATCAAGTCCTTCCTCCTTCTCTCCAGGCAAATCCCCTTGGTTGTGACTCTGATCTTCACATTGTGCGATTGTGATAGTCACGAGTCACAAATTGATTTTAAAAATGAACTGTTTCAACAAGAGGAAGAAAGATTTCAAAGTTTTTGGGTCTAAACAAGTCCACCTGTGTTCATGTATGAGACGCTTTTACTGTGAACCGATGAACTCAAAAAGAATGGCTAATGGATAAACAAATTTGGCTTTTAGAGGACAAACTCTGTAACCTGAAGGCTTTAGATAGGTTTTATTGACTGTGACAAAGCAAAGTTGATGTTTCTTTGGCCTCTTGCAATGTAAAAGATTCATGAGGAAAAGATGAGAAATTTTTTTGGTGCATTTTCATTGCCTCATTTATAATTGAGACGAATAACATATAGTACGTGGGTCTGAGGCCAGATCCATAATTCCCCTTAATTCAATATGAAAAAGTATCCTTCTAAACAGTAAAATTATAGAATTACCTTTTATTTGAAAGGTAATCGTACCTTTAGAGAAATACATAACTCTTGAAATATATTCACCATGTCTCATTCACATTAAGTAGATCCTTGGTGGTTTTCTCATCCATGGCATGCTTATTTGTATAAATCTCATGGACATCCTTAGAATTGGAATTATTCATGCAGATATGGTTTATTAGTATCTTTTGGTTTTGATTTATTTTGCTTGATTTGACAATTTTTTTGTAGTGGTAAGCATATCTGTTGTGATTAGCCAATGAAGTAGACTACAACAGCTTTCGTACGTCTTTGTGCTGATGCCGATGATCGAAAACTCGGTGGAGTCCACTCGGACTCAGCCGAGTTACTTGGCCTCGGCCCCTTACCGAGCCAAGTACTCAGTAAAACCTAAGGGTAATTCAAAAAAATATAAATTATGTAATTTGGATATTTTTTTTATGATTTGTGATTTTTCTTGTGATATGCCCTATTGTTATATTTTTCTCTTTTTTTGGATTTTTCTGAAATGTTTCCAACTATAAATCAATTTTTTCTTTATTCATGTTTTGATTTTTTTCCATCTTAGATGGATTTTTTATGGTTTTTTTAGTTTAGTTTGATTTTTACAATTTTTATTTATTTTTAACAATTGTTTATTTTATTTTATTTTATTTTATATTGAGGGCTTTTTTGGCCCTCTACATTGCTTAGGTGAGCCCACTTGGACTTTCCCAAGTTACTCGTCTCGGGCAGGGCCCAAGTCCTGAGACCCAGCTGAGTTTACGAACCTTGGATGCTGCATATATATTCTGCTTGTTTTCTTTGCTAATGGGGATCGAAACTCCTTGACAGGAATCTAAATGGCTTCGCTGCTGCCGCTGCTCGTCGAAGACTTACTTTAGATAAACAAGGGCCTACTTTTGTTCATCAAAAACCTGGGCCTCTGCAGACAATATTTGATCTCCCCCTCGATGAGGTGGTTAGCAAATCACTTCATTTGGAAATCATTGTATATTGCGTTTTTAAGATTTATTTAGGTTTCCAAGTGGGGGCATGGTTCTGTCCCCTGCTTTGCATTCTGATCAATTCATATTTTTTTATTATTGTGATTGATGTGTTGATTTTGGTATTTTAATTCAGGTTGTTGATCATAGTTATTCATGTGCACTTGAGAGGTCATTTTTATATCATGGCCGTATGTATGTCTCTGCATGGCACATTTGTTTCCATTCTAATGTGTTCTCTAAACAAATGAAGGTTGGTGGATTTTTCTTTTCTTGTCCAGCTTATTTATTTATATTTACTCGAATATTGTTAACGTTATTGTAGTTTTTCAAAACTTCTTGTTTAGTAACTCATTAAGAGTAGTTGTGCTTGTAAACTATGATATATTACTTTGGCTGTTTATGTTGTTGAGGTTTTTCAGTAAGGGTTCCGATGATACTTTAATGTTGATGATTACTATAGTTACGTTTTGGGACCTTCGGAGCATGGAAAGAGTTGGTGGCACTTTTGTAGGTCTTGGCTTAGGGATGGAGATTTTAATACTCATATCTTTCAGGCTTTGGCTAGGTTCCACAGGATTTTAGGTTCTTTAGTCTGGAGGGGCTGATTATACATAATTAAAATTTTTGCACAACCACTTACAAGTCGTTCACAAAAAATCCTAAGTCTCTCTCTCTCTCACACATGCACACACACACACCCACACCCACACCCACACCCACACCCACACCCACACCCATACCCACACCCCACCACCGCCACCATCACTTCCTCGTCACCATTGCCACCACCACGCCCACTGCACCTCCACCACCACCATGCACTGTCATCACCTCCACCACCACTTCCACACCACAACCACAACCACCTCTCCCCCTCTACCACACTGCCTCTGCCACCGCCACCGCCATCGCCACAACAGCTCCACCATCACCAATACCACACCATCACCACTATGGTCACCACTGCTCCACTACCACCACCGTACTATGACCACCATGACCATCATATCACCACCACAGCTCTCCCCCCAGCTGCCCAACCACCGCCTCCACTTCACCACTCTGCTACTGCTGCCGTCTTGTCACCCGCTTCACCACCACCACCTACAAATTGCAATTCAATTCAAAACAATGGAACACCCCTACACAGCAGATGATAATTCACCAAATTGCATTTGGCCAATTACAATTTGAAAAGAAAACACCATTGAAATTTTAAAGCAAACATGCTTGAATATTTTTTTCGTGACATGATTAACTTCTGTTCAAGCGTGCTTCATTGTACATTTGTAGGATTTCTGTATTGGCAAATTTTTCCAGTGCCTATGGTTTACTTTCCTCTACTTGCTTATATTAAGAATTCCTGCATTCATTTTATTAGGTGGTACTTCGATTTGAAGATATTCAAGAGGTGTGTAGTGCTTCTCTTTTTCTTTTGTGAATTGTATATCCGATGTTTCTCTTTCCTTGCCTATTTTTTATCTTTCTTTTTTGTTGTTGAATTTAATGTTTCATGAGAATGCATTTATGACATTATTGTTATTTAGAACTGTAATTCATCAATGCAGATAAAAAGGAGTCAACATGCATTCATCAATCCTGCTATCACTATAATCCTTCGTGCAGGTTCTGGAGGTCATGGTGTGCCTCCTTTGGCTAGTCCAGATGGTCAGTTTTCTGCTTATTTCCGTTGGCATGTGGTCTATCCTTTTTTATGCATTGATATCGGAGGAGATTATTTTGATGTTTTAGTTTTTGAGCATATGTTTTTAACTCCATTCTCTTTTAGTCTTTCCTAATTACATGGGGAGCACAAGAACTTCAGGGTTCATTTTTTTGATTTTCCTTTCCTGAAAAAATACTAAAAATATGTGCTTATGGCCTTGCAAAATGGACTACCATTTTGATACTCTTCAGCTATTACTATCATACTTTCCACACTTGGTTGGACTGGCAATTCAACTTATTTGGACTGCTCTGGCTCCCTAACCTGGTGCTGAGAACATTAGGAAGATTAGATTCACTATTCCTATTTGAGACATGTGATCTGAATCTTTAACTATTGGAGATATGTAGTACCATATGGGTTCTTCATTACTTTTTTCGACTGCTCAACATTAATGCAATAAGGAGGTGGATTTTTGGCCATGGTTTTGGTTGGGTCTGCTATTCATAGGTTCTTAAAGTCTTTGGAGGCGACATCACTGGGGATGCCTGAGGCTATTCGATCTCTAGGCGGTTACTTCTCAGATTACATATGATTTTAAAGGTTTGGGGATGGTCATTAAGCCCTCCATTGCTTTGGGGCAGGGATTCTTGGGGAGCTTCTGTGGGGCATGAGCCCTTCCATTCTGAAGCAGTAGCTATGTTCTTTAATTATGCGTGTGGCTGTATCTTGTTCTAGATGTAGGGGCAATTCAATAATCTTATCTCTTGTATGTTGTGTTTGTTCCTTGTGCTTGATATTATTGCTTCATGCATGGATAATAGAAAATGGACAGTGTTCATTGCCATATCTTGGCATCGTAAACTATAGTTCATTTTTCTTTACATTTACTTCTGTTTTTTTGTCAATTTAAGGCTATGAACTTACCATTTCGTTTTTGCTTACTGCTATTGTCTGTTGTTTGAGGATAAACTTTAGGTTTCCATGGGGTTTTCACTTTAAAATGGTTACTTGTGTGGTCATAACTGATTGGACCTTAGATATTGTCTAATGTTAGCTATTTCCTGACTGTAATAAGATGAACACAGTCATTTATATTGATCATCCTAGGGACTGGGCAAGCGACCATTTTCAGCATATGACTATTTATATAAACTTCTGCTTCGAAATTTTCATAATCCCTATAGTTGCCGTAGTTATACTTGGAAATTTTGATTGCATAATAAAAAATATTCAATAAGTCACCTTTCTCTCATGTCTCTTCTGAACTTGCATATTGTTGATTGCTTGTTCAGAACTGCACTGACATAATCTATCGTGTTCCTTTCAGGTAGAGCCAAGTATAAGTTTGCCTCATTTTGGAATAGAAATCACGCACTTCGAGCTTTACAAAGAGCAGTAAAGAACTTTCGTGCAATGGAAGAGGCTGAGAAGCAGGTCTATTCCTTCATTATTCTTATTACGTATGCCACTCTACTCCCTTTGATTTTCTAGCACATGGAAGTTCAATATAAATGTGTGTGCGTGTGTGTGCATGTGTGTGTGAGGTTTTCAAACCTTTAGATTCCTCATTGCTTTATTCCTATTTCATGTTGCCATTTTTTGTTGTTTGATAAATGATTATTTTACTAAAATATGAAAATACGTTCGAAACATCTGTGGACGCATATGACTGTTCAAACAAGAAATGATATTATGGACAACTCCCTAAGTTTGTGACCTAAGTTTTCTCCATTACTGTCATGAATTTCAAAACATATACCTAATGAATCTCAAAGAAAATTTCCCTGAAAACATCATGAAAGCTCTAGGGATGGCTCTTCTTTGCTTAAACCACCTGATAATGTTTATTGTAACTGATCAGTATGATTAAGATACTTCACTGGATTGCAATCTTCAGTAATATTGATATATGAGATTTGTGTTTAATTAATCCTAGCTTGATATCAACGTCCGCATCAGCTTTAGTTGGTGGCTTCAAACTTTATGGCATTTAGCTTATGAGATGAAAAACTAGTTATTTTTCGTTTCTTAATTTTTATGTTCTCCAATTTGGAGATTATATGAAAAAGAATCATCCTATCTGATGTTTGAAAAAAATTGATTTCCTTGTTTAAGAATCATCCTTTGGAGCTTCCTCTGTCATTATCGGTGTTAGCACTATGCAAAAGTAATCTCTGAAGTTGAAATGGTCTCTCTTTCTGTTTACTTCTTTATGTTTCACTTGTGGATGTTGATTGTATTATCCTGGACCCGTCACAAGTTTATTTGAACCATATCTTTCCCATTGAGAAAATAATTGATGAAAGCCATCACAAATCTCATAATACATATAGCTTATAATAAATATAATTTGTCTTATTTTACTTCTATAGTCAATGATGCCTGAGTTCTTTACTTGTGTGCAAAATCAGAAGACTTATTTTGTAGGTTTTCTTATCTGTTCTTGAGTGCAGGGTAAGGTACAATCTGCATTGCGTGCTCACAGCAGTTCTTTGCAAAGAACTAGTGAAGAGAATGAAATTCCAGCAGATAATCTGCCTAAGGATGGAAAGTTGCAGGCCTTTGTAAAAGAAGATGTTTTAGTTAGTATAATAAATGTATGCATCAATTTTATCTTTTTATTTTACCTTAAAATTGACAGATGGGAATTCCTTAATTTCAATGTTTCTTTTCAGGATGATTTTCCATGTACAGCTGAACAGTTTTATATTGTACTGTTAAGTGATGAATCAAAGTTTACAGATGAATACCGCAAGGCACGGAAGGATACAAATCTTAAGGTAAGACTTTGCTTATGATGCATTTGAACTTTAGTTTCAGTTGGGGAGAATTTTCTGTGAATCAAGATCTTTTGGGTTATATTCTTCAGCTACTTGTACTGTTTGACATCAGGTTATCAGTGGATGGCAGTGAATAAATTTTGTAATGGGATTGAAGTTTCTCATACTCATGCTTGACTCTGCCTTTATTTAAACAATATTCTGAGCATAACATTATGAAATGGTGATGGAACCCTAATGAATCATCATTTGCAGTTTTCCCAACTCCATTAACTAAATTTTTTTCCTTTTTCATTCTTGAACTTCCCGAGTTAAATCTAATGAAAATCTACCATTATGTTGTGTATAATATGTATAACTCCTAAATTAGAACATTTGTTTTTAGGCTCCGGAGAATGGTTGCCTAAGGATATTTCTTATGTGTGGAAATGGACTCTTTTTTTCTTGAAAGAGATGGTATTTACAGTTTTCACTATGTACTTCATTGTCCATCTCTAGCTATTTATGAGTCATGCAATAACAAAACAAGAACAGCTCATGTCAAGTTCGGAATCAGTGCCATGTCCAGCAATATTTATACATCTGGTTAAAGGATAAAACTTTTCAATTTGGTGTATGGAAATAATAAACTTAATGTGGAAACTGTGTTATACCTTGGGATGCAGTTAGCCAATTTGCAACCCCAAAGCAATTCAATGTTTTTATTTGCTGATATAGGTGATTGCACGTCTCTGACATATTATTTTTTACTTTTTTGGTTAATGTATATAGCTTGGGCAGTGGCACATTGGTGAACAATATGATGGGCATGTTAGAGAGATAACCTTCAGATCAGTATGCAATAGTCCAATGTGTCCCCCAGATACAGCGATGACAGAGTGGCAGCATGCCATCGTATCTGCTGATAAAATGACCCTGGTATTGCTCAATCTAAATGCTTAACAAACTGTTGGATGGGTTTGCTTTCATGTTTTGTTTGTATGTGAAATTAACCAGATTTCCCCCCTCTGCAGGTGTTTGAGACAGTACAACAGGCCCATGACGTGCCTTTTGGTTCTTATTTCGAGGTATTTTACTAGAGGATCATATATTACATGCACGCATACATGTACCAAGGGAATTTTAGTCTATATCGATAAAGTAACATGGTGCCGGCATTGTTCTAAATTTTTAACCCCATTTTACTCATTTATATGGGGTTTCCATGCGGGTCTCATTCATTGAGTTGATTACTACTTCTGAGTTCCCAAATAGAATTTAGTCCATTCCTCGTCTCAACAGAATTTGTTACAGAGATCGATCAATGCAGATTTTTATATGTTCCAACATTGAGTTATTCAGTTTATTCTAACTGAATTTTCAATAGATACACTATTTGCTTTTTCCTTATCTAATTACCGGAACTGGAGGCCTCACTCTTTTGTTGTCGGGACCATTTAGAGTTCAAATTGGAAGTAAGCTGGTAGTGGGTTGCTCAAAGAACCATAGACATACAAAAAGAAAGAGCAATGCAATCTCCAAGGGTGAAGTCTGAAGTCTGAAACTATGGGCCCCGCGATATGATAATGATATTTTTCTTTTCTTTCTTATTGCTTTCTTCAGATATTTTTGCATCCCATGCCGTATAAACTCATGCCTTTTGGCATTTTTGTATCCTTTGAATAAATACAAGTGACAATTGACTTTGTTACAGGTTCATTCCAGGTGGATTGTAAAGACCAAATCAGAATCCTCTTCCAATCTCGACATCAGAGTCGGTATGTGTATAGTTTCAGTTGAAACCTTTGCATATGATTCATTTTTTTCTCTAACATGAAATTTTTTTATGGGAAAGGATTGGCATGCCATAATCCAGTGGGTATGGTATGTGTTACTTCAAAGCAGAATCCATCATCCATTTCTGAGGAATGATGGTGGACATTAATCATATATGAGCAACCTGTTCCCCTGCTTATGTTGAAAACTACCATTGCAGGGGCACATTTCAAGAAATGGTGTGTGATGCAGTCTAAGATAAAGACTGGGGCTGTCAATGAGGTATGATAGCTTTCAATTGCTAAATGAAGAAGATTTTCAACAGAACTTAAAAAGCAGTGATTAAAAATTGCCAAGACATCGGGACTCACCCAAGACCCTCTGGACCTGATTCTGGCGATTCTGACAGAAAACTTCAAAATCCCCCCGAGTCTAAACCCCAAATGTTTGTTTAAAAATGGCTGCTCTGACTCTGGAATCCCCTGAGTTAGACTGGGTGACCAGGGCTCAAGACCCTAGCTAGTCTGAGCCCAAGTTCTGGTTTATACGTTGTAAAAAGGCTTAAAATTGTAATTTTGGCCATACAATGAATTAGAATTTCAGAAAACTAAAAAGGAGGAAAAAACGGAAAACCAACCTTTTCTAAAGTCAATGCAATTTTCATGTATTCAAGAACAAGTATCTAACAACTAGACCAACTACACATGGGTTCATGTCTTGTTTGCAGTACAAGAAGGAAGCGGAATTGATACTAGATGTTGCTTGTACATATCTAAAATCTTCTGCAACAACTCAGGACCAAAGGAATGAAGAGGCTTCTAATCTTCAGAACACAACACAAACCGTTTAAAGTCACCGGCAGTCTCATAATTTAGGTATGTCTCTTAACAGTGAGTAGTGGTTGCTGGGCATGCTTAAGGTGAGGCATGTGCATACTCCCCATGTTTTTACTGAAATAGCTACCTTTTCTTTTATTGGGTGTTGTTTTTTGGCGTTTTGCCGGGGGAGGGGAGAGAGTCTCAAAGCAGGTTACCAATCCTAAAAAAATAAGGATAAGAACGAGTTCAATAGATCGTGGAAAAAAAGTGAAAATATTGGCACTATTACTTATTATAGGGTGTGGTTTCCGTAGAGCCATGGCTTTAAGATATTTGGAAAGTTGCACCCAAAAACCTCACTGGAAAATGCAATTTCAATGCTAAAAACCCTTTTTATAGCCTGCAAGTCCATTTTTTCACTTGAATATAAAATTAAAGCTTCAAAACTCATGCAGATTTTGCAGATCTGTGAACACGAGAAATAGATAGTCCAAAAAGCATATAAGAAGATAGACAAGATCCATGATTGTCTAGGTTCAGATGATTGATTTGCTCCTACACAGGACCTGCATTTTGCACAGATATTTGAGGTTTAGCTTTACAAAGCCGCCCTACAAAATAAATTTCTTCATTTCAAAAGAGGTTCATGTTATGCAATTACAGAGGGAAGTGCACTGATGAAATACTACAACGAGCATCTCATTGGCCTGCTTTTGTGGATGAATAGCAAAGGAGTCGTTACGAAAAGACCGAGCTTGACTGTATAGACCAGCAGTGTTCAGGTATTTTAGCTCACCACCTTTGGCATTGTTTGTCAAATTCTGAGGGTGAAAAAATGGCATTTCATGGATGGGAACCTGGCCCTGGCATTGTTAGTGTAATAACTTTTTTGTATCTTAAAATTAACCTGCCTTGTAGCATGTGTATTCGAGGTTTTGGATACAAATTCAATCAATCATTTTGAGAGTTGGGAAATCAATATGAGGTGCTGCTGAGGCTTTTGAATCTCTCTCTCTCTCTCTCTCTCTCTCTCTCGTCGTCGTCGTACGTAGTACGTAGTACGTACGTACGTCGTACGACGGACCGGACCGGTACCGGACCGGTACGGTACGGTACGGTACGTACGTCGTAGGTACGTCG